GCATGTGTTGTTGACAGGTTTTCTCTAAAACCAAATTGAAATGGCGGTAAAATATTATCCTTTCTTAGTTCGTTGTTGAGAAGTCTTAGTATATATTTTTCTATAATTTTACTTATAGAACTTAGCAGGCTTATAGGTCTATAATTTGAGGGTCTATCTGCAGGTTTACCATGTTTTAATATAGGCAAAATGTTTGAAATTTTCCATACAGTAGGAAAGTAACCTAAGTCAAGTATAGCATTAACTAATTTTGTTATGAATATTATACCTTTCCTAGGTAACATTTTTAATATTATATTTTGAATTGAATCCGGACCTGGAGCCTTTCGGTTTTTCAATGTTTTGATGATATTAAGAATGTCTATAGGTTTAGCCCACAAACTTGTATTTCTGAGAGGAGTTTTATTTTTGAAGTAGTTATTTAATGTACTGGTCACTGCCGATTCTAAATGATACTGACCTAATTTATCATTTTGTTTATGAACTTTATAAAATACATTAGCAATTGCTTCCGCTTTTTCAAAATTTGTTATGGCTGATGAGTTATTTAATACAAGTGGTGGTATTTTATCTCGCGTATTTGTAATTTTTTGACGGCAGGCCACAAATTATTATAGTGCGTGTTAATATTTTTTAATTTATTTTCCCACTGCTTGTTGCTATGTAACTTCATTTCAAATGAAAGTTCTTTAGTAAGTTTATTTAGTTGATATTTAATTTCAGGATTTCTACTTTGTTGCCATTTTCTTCTAAGTTTATTTTTTATTTTTAGTTTTAACTTCAATTTTTGCGGAATAATATTTGAATTGTGGTAATTGCAATATGTGGGAATAGTCTTATCTATTGCTTGATGTATACAGGTAGTTAAGTGAGTTACGGCGTCGTCTATATCTTTCCCAGTTGTAAAACAAGCGTTAGTATTAATAGTATTATCTATAAAAAATTTAAACTGATTCCAGTTAGCAAGTCGATAGTTTAAACGCTTATGTATTTGTTCGTCAAGGTCGTGTTGCGTAAGTGATATAGATAACAAAACCGGATTGTGGTCAGAATTAGTCGCAGTAACTGTGTACGGTATCGAACTAACAGTCACATTTTTTGTGATGGCCAAATCTATGGTTCCTGGATTATGTGTGGGATTGGAAGGAAAATGTGTTGGACTTTCAGGGAAATGAAGCTGTAGGTTATTGATGTTATCGTTAAGAAAATTACTTAATTTTAGGCCATTATTATTACAATTACTGCATCCCCAATCACGGTGACGAGCGTTGAAATCACCGGCTAAAATTACGCGATCGCCCAAATTAAATAAATTGTCTACATCAGAAATATTCAGACTATTGCAAGGGAAGTAAGCCGATACAACAACTATATTTGTAAATGGAAGTACAATATTAATGGCTGTAGCTTCAGCACTTTCTAATCTACTTATGGGTATTAAATTGTGTTTGATTTTATCATTAATTATAATTGCTGTTCCGCGTCCATGCATTGCATTGTTATCATTTCTGTAAATAATATAATTTTTCAAACTTAACTTCATATGAGGTTTCAAAAATGTTTCATTAATTAAAGCTATTTGTATGTTATGAGTTTTCAAAATATGTTTAAATTCAAGAAAATTACAATATAAGCTTCTGGCATTCCAGAACATTATCTTTAAATTATTACTATTTACATTCATTTATTATAAAAGTGAGTCAATAAAATCATATCATATTCCTCTTCAGAAGCTAAGTTTAATTTATGAGCTAAACTAATCAATTTATTCACAGATTTCATTACCGCTGGTCTTGAAAAAACTTCTTGTACAAAGTTTATTGATGACATTAGTCCTGATATCGACTCAGGTTCAATGGGTTTATCTATACCTGTATCGTTTTGCATCATTGAATTTCTTGAAAGTGGAGGGAATTGTCTCGGATTTGATAACACAGCATTGAACTGCCTTGTCAAAGGTTTCGGTGCTGGCGCAGGGATGTACTGGCGTTTCAGTCTCATATTTGATAATAGTTCTTCTCGTTTCTGCTTTATTTCTAGATACTTCGGACAATGTTTATAGTTAGCTGGGTGAGCTTCTGCGCAATTAACGCACAGTGGCGGATCTTCCTTTTTTTTGGACATTCCTTCGGTTCGTGTTCTTCAGTGCATTTGACGCATCTGAATTTTAAATTACAATAGGCCGAAACGTGGCCAAAAGATTGACAGTTAAAACATTGTATGATGTTACCATTGTGTCTATATTTGTCCCACTTTACCGCATAGCCCAAAATATGGTTCATATTTTTTAGCGTAGTCATGTCCTGTTCGTGGTCGCAAATAATCAAATATATAGGAAGGTTAAATCTTTGATTTAGGGAATCCATTTTAGTCATTTGTATTACCTTCTTTACTCTCACATATTTTTCGAGTAAGAAAGCCATTATATCTTCTGATGGTATGGAAGGTGGATACCAAGTGCTACAATTTTTTGATTTGCTTGTTCTTTGAGTGGATATGAGTAAAACTTTTTCTTTTGGGATTTTAATTCCTTTATGATAACTTCAAAATCCGTCTTACGATAAGTGGTTACTCGATAATGATTTCGGCCCTTATATTGTACATGAACCTTGGACTTACACTTGCCACGTAAGGTTTTCAGTGCTGCGACGTTACTAAAGTCATCCAAAATTACTATAGCTGGCATAGGTTTGTCAATGGAATCATTAGCTGCTGAATCATTAGCTGCTGATTTCGATTCAATGGATTCTCGATTTTCGGAAATATTAGATTCGCTCTCTGCCGTTTGCATTTCTTCAACAACTGGATTTTCTTTTACCGCAAGAACGGAAAATCTGTTCTTATGCACAAACGTTCCAGAGGTTCCCTCTTCCCGATCATTATTAGTATTTTTATGACGCCCAGGAAATAACTCCATCATATGAATTTTCTTCTTCTCAGAAACTCGCTTAATTAAAAGCCTCTCGGCGGCACTGTGTTTACATTCTTTATCATTATTGGGTTTCACCATGCACTAAACACTTTTTAGAACACTAAATCGAATAAAAACTGTTTCAATATATTATTCTATTCTATTAACACTCTTACAAAATCACTCGATACGAAAACAATTTATCATGGAAATGATCTCGGTAAATTGTCAATGTCTTCAAGAAACATCTGAAGTTGTTTGTAAAAGACAGCAACATTGGTTTGGTGACAGTTTCGATATTATTATCAAAATAGTAATGTCATAGTTAATTCTGGCGCGTTTTTAAAATGGGGCGTAATTTAGTAAATGTCAAAAGATATACTAAATTATCGTACAAAATTTCTTAATAATCATAAATAAATGTACGAAATAATAACTTTATTTATTAATTTCGCTGATATGAATTGTTATAAAATTATAATAGTATTATTATAAAGTTATAATGAATTATTATGAAATTTTACTATTGTCGAATATAAATTTTGTATTTAGGTATTATTTACATATTTCCTTAAAATTTAAGAAAAATTAGATAATCTCGAAAAAATTATATGAACACACATAACGATTTATATATCATTTTATTCGTGATTTTTTCTGCATCTTTCGTACGAACAAAGTTTTTTCGTATCTTTTACTGTTTAGCTAGTAGAGAGCAATCTGTGTGATTGATCACTTATTGAAATGCAAATTACATTTAGATTGCAGCAATTATTGACAATATTTCTATATTTTCATAAAGAAACCATATAAATTATAATACATTGTTAAAATTTCGTATGGTTCTCCAGTCATTCAATTCTAATAACAATCACCATTTAGGCTAAAATCTTGCATGTTTTCTGACCCTCGAACAAACGGTTATTCACGGTCAGCGTGTTTAGATATAGCAGCAGAGCCGCATATTCAGTTCAGCAAGCATTCAAGAATAAAAGAATAAAATAATATTTATTAAATATCAACTAATATATAATCTTTTCTCGGCAATGAATATAAGATATTATTATTTTATTCTATACAATTGAATTAAAAAAAAAAAAAACATAAATATTATATTTTATTATTAATGACTAAATTATTTATACATTCGATTTATTTTAATAAAATATAATATGATAGAAATATTATGATTTTACAGAATAAACAGTTTGTGAATTTTTTGACTCAAGTTATTTCAAGAAGAAACAACAGTACAATTGTTTACTGTTTTGTATTTTATCGTTCTTTTGAAAACTACGAATGAAATAATTAATTATAACGATAATATTATTTTATTAGATACTATGCAAAAAGAGAATAGAGCACACACAAAAAATATGGTAAAATAATATGCGTTCAAAATTATATCTTGAACTGAATGCACGACGCGACATAATGTTTTACACAAATGATTTCTAACCGAATTTTATGCGTTGGTGTATTGATAGTGTATTACATCGTAAATATAATTAATTATTTCATACAAATAATATTTTATTTTAATAAAATATTATATTCGTTATTTAATCAAATCGTATATTAGCTATTGTTCAGTATAGATTCATAGAGTACTCAAATGAATGTTCAATGACAGTTTATGAACAATTATGATACTATTTATGAATAAAAATTTACAAAAACTGTTTCTAGGATATATAAGTATAATTACATCGCATCAAAATATAACATATCTCAATGCTCATAAAAATGCGATAACGATTTTGTTGAAAAACGCACTATTGAGTGCAGAAGTTATTTGAATATAATTAGCGATATTTTAGAAAAACTAACCGTTGAAATAAATCATGCTTTTGATGATATGTTGGGGATGAATTTGGCTATCATGTAAATCCATTGTTTTATGCGAATTATTTAGAATAAAAGCGCTGGATTTAATTTTTACAAATAATTTACATTTTTGTAAAATTTTCAAATATTATTGTTTTCTCCTCGGTCCTACACTTTTCGAATATAGTTTTTGGCCACGCCCCTAACATATTTAACCAATCACGTGTTAGATTTACATTTTAACCTACGATTTTTTACTATAATGTCAGATAACGCTTTATCTACGTCGCCGGCGGCAACCGCTGCGCCAGCGACAGCATCGCCGAAAAAGGGCAAGACTGCGGCTGTTAAAAAACCGCGAGTGAAGCCGTCCCATCCTCCTACATCTGAAATGGTAAACAACGCTATTAAAAGTCTGAAAGAACGCGGCGGATCGTCGCTGCAGGCGATTAAGAAATATATGTCGGCCAATTATAAAATCGACGCCGAGAAAATGTCAACGTTCATTAAAAGTATTTAAAGTCAGCTGTTCAAGCGGGCACACTGATTCAAACAAAAGGCAAAGGTGCTTCGGGTTCGTTCAAACTTGCCGCGAACGCTAAACAGAGCGGCGGCGAAAGCGGTGTTTCGGCTGGAAAAGCCAGGACCGCTAAGACGCCAGCGGCAAAAGCAAAATCGAAGACAGCAAAGTCGAAGGGCGCCGCCAAACTGCTTCGTCCCCTAAAAAGAAGTCTGCATCCGCAGCGGGCACATTAAAAAAGTCGTCGGCGAAACCTAAGACGACAGTCGATAAGAAGAAGACCATTCAGGGTAAGTCGACGAAAGCCTCATCGGCCAAGGCAACGAGCAAAACGAAGAAAACCGTCAAGACCGCAGCCGCAAAGAAACCTAAATCGCCAAAGAAGAAGACATCAAAAGTAGCCAAACCTTTGAAAAAAGCGTCACCGAAAAAGAAGTGAAAACATTTCATTATCTTTTACACAACAGCAAACGAAAATGTTGCACAAAGTCCTTTTCAGGACTAACAATAAATTTTTATCAAAGAACATTATTATTTTACTTATATATATCTTATCATCTTATATTATAGCCTTTTCGTGGACTTCGGAAAAAAATTTTAATAAAATATTTGTAACAGGAGCGCAGCAACGCTCGCTGTGTTCCTCGCCGTGTTGTGTCATTGACGAAATTAAAAAAGTCAAAGTCTTTTCAATTTTCAATTTCGTCTTTGGTAGGAGTAGTTGTCAATATCAATCGCTGAATTTTATTTATTTATTTATTTTTTTTTTTTAAATAATTTTATATGAATAAATTATCTTAATCAAATGAAATATAATCAATAATTTATTAATAAAAGTTTTATATATCACTTTAAATAAATCAACTATACATAGAACGGCCAACTCTCATAATATTAAATTCATAATTTTTCTAATTTTTTTTTATATAAATAATAAGTAAATGGAAATTATAATGAAATAAAATATAATCATTAATAATTTTTTGAAGTTTCAATCGTTTTTTCATATCGTATTCGAAAAAGAAAATTGATATAACTTAAATAAATAACTATATATGAAATTAAAAAATATACAATCAAAAAAAAAAATATGGGATATATAAATATATAGAATATAA